AAGGCCCACAAAGTCCTGCACCTGCCACGAAATGTGCTTTGCAAGGTCCACAAAGTACTGCACCTGCCACGAAACACGAAAAACAAAAAAGATCCAGAAATATTTTCGCAACCTTTTAAATCCTGCTATTGCCAATTGCACTGCTTCGGGGCCTTGCAGAGGTCCAAGAAAAGCAAAGGCCATTCGAGTCTTGATGGACCAAACGACTTCAAATTGCATAGCCCGACGACTGCGACGTACTGAATCCCAAAGCTGGAGATCAAGCCACGCACTTCTCTCATGAACTCCTCGTTTCACCTCCTAAACCGCGGCTCTGCCAGCACTTCAGCACAGCGATCCAGGCCCTGGGAAGCTGCTTGGCCGGGCTTCGTGCGGGACTCGACCGCCGAACGCCGGAGGGTTCCGGGATCGAAGAATCAGCTCAGTTCCGCCTCTCAGCTGCCACAGACTAGCACCGGTCGACCTGTTTGTCAACTAACTCTCAAGTAGTCCATAGATTTTCGAGAAATTACATGACTTCGAGTCGTCTTGCGTACTTTAAGAAGGCTCCTTCATGCGAAGTGAGAGCCCTGTCGCCACCTGTCCAAACCTGGCTCCAGTCGCCACCCGGAAAGCTCCGCGGAGAAAGCTCCGCCTCGCCGAGATGGCCGCGCGCCCCGAGGCGCGTCCCCGCGCTCCGTCCCCGCGCTCCGCTGCGTTTGCGTCGTGGGCATCGTGCAGTCGCGAGGTTCATGGCCGCTGGAGAGCCTGGCAGATCTTGAGGTGTGGGAACGAAGAGTGCAACAGCGGAGATGACTGGGTTGGTGTTAATAGGACTGGGATGCTCAGTTGCTTCATGGATGGTGATCCACTTGGAATATTTTTTGAATCGGAATTGTGTCCAACTGAATTTCGGGGTGCTTGAGAAGGCCCCCACAGAACAGACGACAGACCCGCCACATGGGACGATTCTGAATCCAATGAGTTCATCACGGTGAAGCACGTTGAAGCCTGTCCGTTTTCACACGGTGAAACAGGATCCAAGCACGGGGGAAGCTTTTTGGCACTGCGAAGCTCTCACCCGTACTGAGTGTCACAGGCAATGTGCAGGTGTCTCAAGTGCGGGGACAGCACTGCAGTAGTGGGCGGATTTAGACACACAACGGGCGTCCGGGAGTCAGACCAAACTGTTGCAGGGTCCGGGATCTCTGGCTCGGGAGTCATCTGGATTTTTAGAGCAAGCTGCTGCTCCAGGCCTGGCTTGGCCCTCATTCTGTGACTTGGCCATGGGGTCAACCTGGTGCAGCAGTTCGATGGCTTTCATGGCGTCAGCAGTTCCGGTAGAATGATCGTTCAATGACGACTTGGCCAGAGAAGGAACACCAAATCATTTGAAGAGGTCTTCTTCAAAGAGGATTTGGAAAGCATGGAAGCACTTCATATTCATCTTCCATCATTTCCATGTCCGACCCCCCAACAAAACATAACAAAACAAGATGTCCCTTTTCCTCCAATGAATCACACTTCGAGACCCTCACACTTCCGCCTGAGAATCGCACCCTGCTGGTGTTTCTTTGTTTGAGAATCACTATTTTCGCCCGAACGACATGTGGAACGACCCCCCTGAGGCTCTGGCGGACGGGGCTGTGTTTCCTGTCGGGCGCTTACCGGCCCCTCCGGCCGCCACTGGCGAGCTGGGCGGTGGACGCGGTAGATCAGGTGAAGCCCATGGATCATCCACCGGGCATGGACGATTGGCAAGTGAAGGCGGGGGACGATCATCCCCAGGGCCCCGCCCGGAGACCACTGGGGCGTGTGAACAACGGCCGTGATTTCTTGGGAGGTAGGTGGAGGTAGGCGGAAAGTGCTTGGGGTGGTTTGGTTGAGAGTTATGAATATTCTGAATATATCCCCGATAGAATAAAGCCTATAAAATGGACGTACTCGAGTACCAAAACCCCATGTCATTTTATAGGGAGGGCTTGCTATAAAATGATGTGTCGACCTGGTAGCTTGTGGCCAGAATTATGTGGGCCGCACATAGATAGAGGCGAGGTCTGGATGTTTTGACATTTGATTTTATAGGAGTGAGGTGGTATGAGCCCCGATTTTATAGCAGACCAAGCCTTACAATGATTAGAAGTTGGTTCTTGATCTTATATGAAGAGAGTTGTGGACAAGAAAGCTGAGACTTCATTTTATTGTGGCAGATGTTGGAAGTCAGTTGCATGCATAATATGTTGTATTTTTGAGTTTATACGCCCGGCCTGCCTGCAAGATGCTTTCAATGGTTGAAAAGATGCTTTCAACAAATCCGAGAAGGTTTCATTATATTCAATCAAAATTAGCAAGAAATGGGTCAGAAATGTTCAGATTCCTTTTGGAAAAAAGACTGAAGTTAACAACACAAGCGGATTGCTTTGGACATCAGAACAATCAGACGAACGCACAGGGGAAAAAACCTGCTCATCGCTGATGCTGTCAGATTTTGCAAACCAAATCCCTATAAATTCAAGTCTCAGCCCAGTTGAACCCAAACAACTCACTATAACATCAATTCCGACCTGGGCAAAATAAAGGTAAAACTACCTCAAACCTAGATCATATTTTACGTCTTCCTTTGCTTTCGGGCGCCTTAGATGTTGAGATTTGCTTTTATAGAGATTTACTGATTCATGTCGAGTCTTCATTTTATAGTGGAGAGATTGCTTGCTGGATGTTGGGGCAGGCGATTTATGGCTATAAAATCGCTCTCCCCAGACCTACCGGTAATTCCAAGGGGGATCTGAATATATAGTTATGAAAGATATCCAATTGGATGAAATCACATCATCTCATCATGGACACTAGGGATACTCTCCAAAGGAGTATGGTCACTCAGTCATTAACCAAACATCTCACACTCGTGAACTTTGGGAGTAAACCTGACTGCCATTTGCGTGCTGATTTTGACATCAAAGACCCTGAATGCGAAACCGCGTGAAACCGCGTGAATGCGAAAGAGGTGGCACATGCTGTGGACGTGCTACACGAAGATGCCACTGGGCCTTAGAAGATCGCTGGACGAAGTAGAACAAAGTCAAGTGGCCTCCAACCTATATAATAGCAATGGCCTCAACCTATAGCGATGGCCTCCAACCTACTAGCGATGGCCTCCAGCCTACTAGCGATGGCCTCCAACCTACTAACGATGGCAACCTACTCGCGATGGCGTCCAACCTACTAGCGATGCGCTCCAACCTACTAGCAATGGCCTCCAACCTACTAGCGATGCACTCCAACCTACTAGCGATGGC